ATAGCTGCGAATTTATTCAAGGCATTTAGGCTAATTTTGCGGCACTTATGGGTATCAATATCAATGGTCATACTAGCTTGCTGCATTTGTTGTGAAAATGGTGGTCCAAGGGTAGTTACACTTCAGCCAAAATATCTTCCATCATGTTGCTCCCCTCCTTCATTCTTTGGGAAGTTTGGAAAGCAAGAAACAAGATAATCTATGAAGGTACTCTGCCATCTTCTAATTCTTTAATGCATTCAATTTCATCTAGTGTTCATGATCTTCTATTGGTGCATGATCTTAAAGTACGTAGTGAGGTTGAGAAGGATTTTATTGTGAGTATATTTGGTGTTCAGCTGCCTAGATCCATTTTAAGGAGTTGTAAAATGGCGAGATGGATCCCGCCAGATCCAAATTCATTTATTTTGAATACTGATGGCTCATCTATTGGTGATGCGGGTTATGGGTTCGTCATCCGTGGCGAAGTAGGCTATTTCCTTTATGGTGAATGTGGCTTTTTGGGGGAAGGAGATAGTTTATATGCTGAATTATGCGGCTTTCTCTTGGATTGCGAAAGTGTGATTATTTACAGCTCCCAAACGGGGTAATCCAAACAGATAGTAAGTTACTTTCGGATGCTATTGTTAGAAAAAGTGGTTTTCCATGGAGATTTTTTCTGGATTTGATGAAAATATGTTCTATTATTGATCGCAATTGGTACTCTAATATTCATATTTATAGAGAAAGAAATTTAGTTGCTGACAGCCTAGCCAAGGTTGCTTCAAGTGGTATCTCCACCACTTACAATTCTTTTAGCTTGTTGCCTCGCTATGTAAAATGCCTTCTGGTTTTAGACCAAAGGTCTTATCCATATTTACGTAGTTAAGAATAGCTTAGTATCTTATAATATAGAGAGCCATTGTAAAAGTAAGGGGTCAGACCATCCTCTGCCCTTGAGATCTTTTATTCAAGATGGTAATAAAATTGAGGAAAGGAGAGGCTAAAGAACTAGATGGCATGTATGTCCATCCCTTGGGTAGACCCCTTGGGTGCATCATGTCATCTAACGCTTCCCGGCATGAAAATTTACCTCCTAGGTAGGCCCCTTGAGTTTTTTTATGTCAGTTGGAACTTGAATACCTCCTTATTCCCCCTGTTCAATAAAAAAAAAGTGATCGTGGCCCCAACTAGAAACTCAACAATATGTAGTATCACTTTGAACTTTCATATTAAATAATATAACTTTCTTCCTTTCCATATTTCAAATGAAGATACTTTAGTCTTTACGGAGCTTAATTGTGCACATGGCAAGCATTTAAAAATATTATTCCACAAAACGTTTGGCAACTTAAACTCACTAGCATAGCATTGCCGTGACACGTAGAGTTTAATAGTTTTAACCAAACTATTTGTTGTTTATTACATACAAGTTCGTTTCACCTATTAGAGTAATTTTAGACTTGGGATTTACGTGCAAAACATATCGAATATTTTATCCACTATTTTCACTGGATAAACATGCATACAAATTTGAGAAATTATCTATGAATGTGACAAAATTTTTCTTGCACCCCATAGTTTAAAATTGTTCAGTTCACGTAAATCAAAGTATTGCACCAGCAATAACTTCCAACTTTTATTTTAAAGTAATCTTGCAACTTTGTTGTATGTGTATGTTTCACATTTTTATTATTAAGACATTTGAGCCAAATTAGTTTATACCTTACACAAAATTACAATAGTTTAACAATAATTTATCATGTCACAAATAATAAGAACGTTCAAACATATAAATAGCAGCATTATCAAATGCATTGATAATAAACATAAAATTGCACGAAATAATCACTCTTCACAAAAGAGTTTTACTGTAAAAGTAATAGATGGCTATCATTTAAAAGTTACAACCTTAAAACGTCACTTTGACGATTAGGCAAGACTTTAACTCATGTCTTTCATTTGGAACCAATGGACACACATTTTTTTTATTTCTTTTTTTAAATGGAAATAAACCCATACTTTCAACTATATCTTTCAACTTAGAGTCAATAGACAAAACTTTGTTTGTGTCTTTTTACTTGACCTCACTAGAAACAACTAGGTACATGTCTCTTCAACCAAAAAAACAAAGAGTATAACTTTTCAGAAAAGCCATCGATTTTGGTTCACCAAAACCACTTTCAATGAAACTTTCACATGCATAAAATATTTAATTTCATACATAGTATTAAATTTTCATAACCAAAATTGTCTAAAACATTACTATAATTTAGTTGTGTTTGTTGACTTTTTTGTCGACTCTAACAGAATTGACGACTAAGTCAACGAGACTTAACATCCTGACATTCTAATAGATGTCGACTTTTGTGTCAACATTGATCTTGTTGATGAACATGTTAACGGCACCAAACAGTGACACATAGCACATTTCAACATTCGTCGACCTTTCTGTCGACTTATGTTTACCGACGACAAGGTCGACGTACATTTACCGAAAAATTTCCAACATGCAATCAATATGTCTTTCGCATTCCTTAAAACTAAGAAATTCATTGCATTTTTTGACCATATTCAGTTTAAAATCTCTAACAAATAATTATTGTAGAATCTTTAAACACAACTTAATCCATAATTTTCACAACACTTGACTCAGTTAATACAAAAGTAAAAATATAAATCTACAAATATTGAAACTATTATATGGATTTGTCCATTCCGAATTTGGTAATTCTAGATAAAACATTTAACACAAAAAAAAAACTTATCTGTTGTATACTCGTCAGAGTATACTCCAGATATTTCAAGATCTGTCTTCAGAATTTGACTACGAAACTAAACTGTAGAGAAAACAACTTGAACAAATCCAAAAATCTCCATGTTGTAAGATTACTTCTTTGTTGCTTTCATCATCTTTGATCTTTGTATCCTCAAATACTTGTATCAATTTCACGGCTATCATATTGTCTTAAGATTGAAAGATACAAACTATTTGAAGTTGGAGAAATCATACAAGAATGTGACAATAAAAAGACAAAGCATAGATAAGTTTCTATACGAAATATTCAAAGACAATATTGTGGGAAAAACCGCAGTGATTGGATGCATTCTAAGCATGTAATCACTGTCCTTAAGACCATATTTGCCCCCACTACTTTGCAAAAACAGGTTTAATTTGCATTTTGTCTCAAGAATACGAAGAAACACAAGAACAACTAACTTTGCAATTATTTCTTGTTCTTTAAGAATTTAGGAATACAAAAAGACTTACTGAAAACCTGTAGCAGTTTATAGCCCTTGAGTTCCAAGTCACCAACATAACCTTTCATGAATACATTTCATGTTTCATACTTTTTCAATTCATTGTCACCCTTTAGTTAGTTCCAGGAAGATTGAACCAAGTCTGGGTTGCAACTTTTCAGTTATTGATTTTATATCACAAACTAAAACACAACAGTGTAGTAATAAACTTTCAAGATCGATTCAATTTTTTACTTTTTAGAAAAATGATAATATTGCTAGAAGAACTTTAAACATACAACCGTAGTTTACATTTACTGAGTAGGCTAGGAGACGTTTTGATTCTGTCCTAGATCGATTGTTGTTGTTATAAGTTTTTTAATCGAGTAAAAAGATGACAATCGCAAACCCAAAAACATTATCTCAAAATCTAGGATAAGAATCAAATCATTTTTTTTTTAATTTCATATACTATTAATTTTTGAAGATTGGGATGACCTATACTTATGTGGGCGATTCTTGAAAAAATATTGTCTTCTTAATTAATTGAATTTCTTCAGTTTTTGTACTGGATTTTTGTATTGGACATGAGTTAGGATAAAAATTATTATTAAATGATAATTATAGTGATTAATATACAATGAAAATAAATAGTGACTGAGTTGGTCCTCTAGTTTGTAGGCCCTGTGCCGTAGAAATTATATCTTTCCCTTCAAAGTTTATAATTTTACCCTTAATTAATATAAACACATCTCTCACTATGAGTTTTCATAATTCTTTTTCACAGGCTGTATCATAGCTGTTATTAATTACTTAACGGTTAATTTAAAGAGATTCTATTGAATTATGCACCCGATATATTAAACTAGTGTTTCGAATTACTTGAAGGGAGTACTTTGTTGCGTCAAAAGTTTTGTAGAAAGGTTATCAATTCCGGTACAAGAAAATGAGAAACACTTGATGTACTGTGTATTATTCTCAAGAGGAATTTTGACTAGGGTATTAAAAACCATGGATTTATCATAATTCCAGAGATCTCATTAAGTATGACAATAATGCACCTACTGAATTCTGTAAGCACAAACCATCTTTAAGTGAAGAAGCGACATTGGCAACTGATTCTACAGCATCAATAAGATCGAATTGGGAGAATGCAAACATAATTCATGAAGACCCTTCACCTAATATCGATCAACGGAATGAAATAGAGACAGAGAGAGACCTTATTTCTATTGCACATTTCTAGCTCAAAATGAAAAAGAAATAAATAAAAACATCGCGCGTTCCATGAGCGAGTAAAGCGCAGTGCAAAACCATTTTATCGTTCAATAAATTTTGCATTTCCCTCAAAATTGGTTGGCTTAAGAGCAAATATCATGATTAATTTTTTTGTATCGGACCATAACAAGCGGGAGCATCTGTGGATCAGTGCTCTGATCAAGAGCTATTGGGTTTTTTCAAAGTAAGTATTCACGACCGGAAAATCAAGTTGAATTAATCGTTTCATCAATTAATTCTTTATAATCTTTTCTGTTTTCAAAAAAAGGATCAATTTGGACGATAGAATAGAAACATTGAGGAGAAGGAGCCACCGTCGAATATGTCCGTCAACCGGTGACCGAGTGGCGGATGATGATGGAATATTGGCATCCGGATGACAAGAGGCAAATTGAGCTTACCAGTGCAGCCAAGTCGTGCGCGATCGTGGCCTCATGGGCGGTATCGAACGTACCCAATCACCAAAGCGAACCCATGTTAGGCCTTCAGATTTTGGCAACCCATTAGCCCCATGTCCTTTGCCTTACGCCCTTACCCCTTTGTAAGTGCACATGGCGTTTTTGGGTGCACATTTCCATGAACCGTTGGCCTGACCTGGCTTCTCGGTTACCATTGTCGTGGATGCGGCTACCGCTGCCGCCTCCCTCCGTTGCTGGCTCCGCCTTGCCCGGAATCGCCAGAAGAACTTGCTCAGTCATCATGGTGCTGCTGCTACTGCTAGTTGTGGACTGCAAAGGAAAGTATCAGAGAATTGAAAAGTGGTTAGATGAGATGGGCGAGGAGTGCGGTGAGGAAGGGTGTTTTTATAGTTGTAAGAAGGGTGGAAGATGCGAAATCAATGAAAGCAAGGGAAATGAAAGGAGTTAGTTATGCATGGAAAAGGGGAAAGAGTACTATATACGTCTGTTTTTCCCTTGTACATCCCATGCTATTTGGTCAAACCTTTCGCATACTTTGGTATTAGTTTTTCTTGTTGTGTCTTCAGTTTGTGCTCAAATTTGTTTATTTCATTGGATTAGTATACAATAGACTCTTTACAAATTACGGTTGCACCATTAAGATTTATTATATACGAATATATTCATCAATCAATATATAAATTAAATAATGCAGTTGTGCATCTAAAATTTATTAATTTACGAATGTAGTAAATAGTTAATAAATAAGTATTTCTATTTTATCAACAAATTTAAAATATTATTATTTCATAAAACTCTTTCAATCCCATTCATAAAAAAATTAGCTGATTCTATAATTTTTAGATGAAAAGAAGATGGTTGCTATTGCTATGAGTTTTCTAATAAAGTAAAAAGATAACAATCACAAAGATAAAAATATAAAATAAAATACTAACTAGAAATTTAAAATAATCTTGGAAAAGAAGATGGTTACTATTGTTATGAGTTTTATTGCGCGTTTCTAGCCCAAAAAGGAAAAAAAAACAAATAAATAAGAAAATCGCGCGTTTAAAGTGCGGCGCCTAAAGCTCTGGGCAAAATCTTTTCATGATGCACTAAATTTTACATTAGCCTCAAAATTGGTTGGCTTCAAACCACAAATGATGGTTTAAAATTTGTATCGGACCATAACAAGCTGGAGCTTAGGCTTTTTCGGTGGATCAGTGCTATGATTATTAAGAGCTTTGGGGTTTCTTCACAGTAAATTTCCATCTACAGGCAAACCAAGCTGAATCAATCGTTTGATCCATTAATTCCTTTCAGATACTTTTTCTCAAAAAAAGATCACTTTGGACAAAAGAATAGAAACATTGAGGGGGAGGAGGTAGAGGTGGAGGAGCCACCGTTAAATAGGTCCGGGTACCGGTGGTGGAGTGGCTGATGATGATAATATTGGCATCCAATGACATGAGGCAGATTGAGCTTACCAGTGTAGCCAAGTCGTACGCAAATGTGGCCTCATGGGCGGTATTGAACGTACCCAACCACCAAAGCGAACCCAAGTTAATTAGGTTTTCGGATTTCGGCAACCCATTAGCCCCATGTCCTTTGCCTTACCCCTTTGTAAGTGCACGTGGCGTTTTCCAGTCTACCTTTCCATGTACCATTGCTGCTGCCGCCTTGTCCGGAGCCGACATAAGAACTTCCTCAGCAATCATGGTGCTGCTGCTACTGCTAGTTGTACACTGCAAAGAAAAGTATCAGAGAATTGAAAAGTGAAGATATGAGATCTTGAGATGGGCGAGAAGTAGGGGTCAGGAAGTTGTGTATTTATAGCGGTAAGAAGGGTGGAAGTAGTGATCACTGCTTTGAAAGAAGGGAGTCATGCATGGAAAAGGGAAGAGAGTACTTGTATACTTCTGCCTTGTACATCATGTTAGCTTCTGCCTTGTACATTGCATGCTACTTGGCAAAAATTTTCTCTTACTTTTATTTGTTTGTTGTATCTTTAGTTTGTTTTCGACTTTTTTAAAAAACGATTAACATAAAATAGAATCATTATAAATAAATTCATATAAATGCAACTCCAGAATTTATTACTTCATGAATTTATTCGTTATTAACATGTAATTTGATTAATGCAGTTGCACCTCCAAAATTTAGTAGTTTACGAATTTATTAAGTAATAATAAGAAATTAGTGGTTAAATTCATTCTTTCTTTTTTTAATTAGATCAAACATATGATATTCTTCCAAACAGTGGTAGTAACTTTGTCACTCAAAACTTTGCTCCGTAAAATCATTTTTCTTGAGTATCAATGGTCCGTCATTAGTGAAACGACATTTTACAAATAAGATATAATTGACGTTTTTTTGTTCAATGTCGCTTGTTTACGAATAAAACAACATCCTTTCACTGATACACACGACTAGACTAGTGCCATGACATGCCATCTTTTTTGTGTATGTTGGTTGTTTCAACAAATGTAATAATAACATCTGCATATTGTGATCGAACATTGAGTAGAATCTGTCCTTGGAAAAAAAGAATTGCAAGCATAATTCATAAAACCCTTCACCTAATATCGATTTACGCAATGAAATAGAGAATGCACAGAGAGACCGCAGATAGACCTTATCTTTTGCGCTTTTCTAGCTCAAAATGAAAAAAAAAAATAAAAATAAAAAATCGCTCGTTCCATGTGCGAATAAAGCGCAGTGCAAAACCAGTTCGCCGTTCAATAAATATTGCATTTTCCTAAAAATTGGTTGGTTTAAGAGCACACGCGATGACTAATATTTTTGTATCGGACCATAATAAGCTAGAGCTTTGGATCGGTCTCTGATTATCAAGAGCTGTTGGGTTTCTTCAAAGTAAGCATTCAACAACAGGAAAATCAAGTTGAATTAACCGTTTCATCAATTAATTCTTTTTAATTCTTTTTTTTTTTAAAAAAAATCAATCTGGACAAAAGAATAGAAGAGGAGGAGGAGGAGGAGCCTCCGTGGAATAGGTCCGTGAACCGGTGGCGGAGTGGCTGATGATGATGGAATATTGGCATCCGGAGGGAAAAAAAAAATTTTGAGGCAGCCCAAGGGAAAAGTTACGTTCCTTTTTGTTCTTCTTTTTTTGAATCTTTAAGTTACAGTACATTTTTTTTGTGGCTACATTTTAATTTTAAATTCATTCCAATTAAATTCTAAATTATATAAAGACACTTGTGTTATACATCAATAATTCGTGATTAGTAAATAGTTTTTAATTACTCTATCTTAGAAAAATAGTATATATCGTTCTACTCTTTTAGTCTAACAAAGTAAACTATTTCTCTGAAAATGAGAAAATATTGTTCTCTTATTACGAGGTTAGAGTTAACACCCGTATGTTAATAACTACCGTATCTTACAACCAGATGCAGTGCCAAGTGTATTTTACAAAATGGCGGAATTAATGAACTCAAATTAGGAATAGGGAAACATGATTTTAATTAATTATGTGGGCTAACTATAGTAGATAGTCAGTACTTGATGGTATATACTAAGCTAAAGTAAAAATTGTGTATCCTGTTAACCAATATAGTCAAATCGTAATGAGATTGACCAACTAAAAGTACCAATTGCATGTAAATATGATGGAATTTGCTTGTACTTTTAAATGTTCATAACAGTAGTACTATGAGATATTCCAAACTAATTGGAGGAAACATTATTTTATTTCAAATGTGAAACTGATAACTAGTATATTAACAAGGTATACAAATTTGCACATATTCGTGGTTTATACTTAACGTTTTTTGTAATTTAGTCATTGCCTTCAAGTTGATAATTATAAAATATCTATGAGGCTAAAATCATATATTAATTAAAGGATAAATATGACCAATGACATCATTATTACAAAAATACAAAATAGTTATACATTTTACACGAGAAATTAACATTATCTTAACAAAAAAAGTTTGAGGGTGTCACTTTGTAAATTTTAAAGGGGTTTTTACAGATTTTAAAATTCTACTGGTATAGATTGAATTTTAATTAACCAGTAATTGTACACAGAATACTTTGTAGATAACATTTTTGTGGAACTCTCTAGATAATCTTCATATGAACCACGTACATACCTACGGAATATTATCCATGGAAAGTTTCATGGTTAATTTGTGGATAAACACTTCATCATCTAAGGATTAACAACGTCCAGGAGTGTCCATGTATAATGTCGTAGATACTCCATGTATAGATTGTGGGCAAAAATTTTACGGTATTTTTAGTGAGTACTTCGTGTATAAGTTGTGGTTATTATCCACGGTTAAGCATGTGTGTTTGATTCCATTGTTAATTGATCATTTTCTTGTAGAGTGAATGTATAGGACAACGATACATTTTACTCGTTTTTTGGTTCATATTTCACATTTAATAGATAATTTTCAAGCATCAAAGAAAAAATAACCAAGCAATGGAAGAATAAACAACTACAATCAGCACAACATAATTGAGAAACTTGTAGTGATTGTTCAATTAATCATGCTCTGATTTATATGTAATTTAGCAGCTCATAGTCGAAGTTAAGAAACTTTGGCCTATATATGGAAAACCAAGAAAATTAGGTCTATATATGTTTAAAAGTACAACTAACTATTTTTCATGTACTTTGTCTATGAAATGGTGCATGAAACTCGATGATTTTCTTATATTGAATCAGATGTGGAGTCACTTGGACATATTTAAATTCAGTTTAATCTATTGCCACAACACGATATTGAACTTTTCCAATGTTTTTTTACAAGAAGTTAAAAGATTAGATAGAGAATAATATGTGATCATTTTATCCTATTAGGTGAATTTAGTGGGGGTTTTTAGTGGGGGTTTATCTTGTGCTATATCAATATGCTGTATTCATCATAACTTTTATATATATATATATATATATATATATATATATATATATATATATATTTGTTTATCTAGGACAGTACCTGGCGGGCATACCTCCTGATATTATTGCCATAAAAAAATTCAAGGATTACAAGTATAGTGCATAAAACTTACACACAGCCAGCCTATCTTGTCCACCTATGCACATAAAGAAATGATGATTGTTCAATGATTGTTCAAGAAATGATGATTGGGCAAACTAGAAACACAAAGATAAGTATTTGACTAACCCAGGGATACCTCCTTTGCCGATTTGTCAGCTACTGCATTTGCCTCTCTATAGATATGAGTGATAGAAAAGGTATTTCTCTGTATACTCAAACTCATCTCCAATAATTGCAAATAGAACTTCCATGAGTATAACTAGAATGCTTACTCTGAGCGTAACAATATAACAATATAACTAGAATGCTTTCTCAGAGTGTCAGCAAGTATCTTCATATCAGTTGGTACTCAGACATTATTTAAATTCATTAGCTCACATCTTCGCAAATCAAATAAAATTCTATATATTTTAGCTAAAAAGCTATCTCCACAACCCAAAAATCCACATTCTCCTTATTCAGAGCTACCTCCATCCCCTTTGATAACAGAATCGTAGCCGCCTTCATTGTTCCCAAACGATCCATCAAAAGTTAGAATAAATTAATTGGAGCTAGGTGGAACCCATCTCACCTCAGAACACTTTCTCTGACTACCAAAAGTTTCATGAAGAAAATTTCTCTCGGCATCATTATGAACTTTGAGATACATTTATCAAATTTCTTACATGAGCTTTACTAATGTTAATCACATAGTTTATGTTAAAAGTAATGCCTTCAAACAACACCTTGTTCCTCAATTTCCAAACTTCTCAAATCACAATAGAAGGGATTAATATTACAAGTGAGTTTCGAGATATGGTAAAGCTACTCTTATTCCACCATTTTCTTAAATGCCCAAAAACGTGGAGACATCAATCAAATCAATATCAAAAATAGAAAAATGACTCCATATTTGCCGTGTAAAATCACACTCTTTAAAGGGATGAAGCAAGCTATCACTCTTCTTGCAACATAAAAGGTAAATAGATGGATTAAGTTGAATACGAAAAGTACAACGAACCTCAGGGAAAGGGAGTAACCTGCTGCGCAATTTCCACATACAAAAAGAAATCCTTAACGGTATTAACTTATGCCATACGTTTTTTATCAACAACTAATTTTCTTCCCTTCTTCGAAGAGCTTCGTAAGCCGATTTAACTGTAAAGACTTCTTGCGATGTGTACTTCACTTGTGAAGGCTATTTTTGTGTGAGCTAGGAACCCTTGGACACTTTTATTGAGTACTTTTTGCAGTTCGGACAAGAAAGAAGGCTTCCCATCATAAAATTCCTTTATGCTCATTTCTGAAAATGGTTGCTGGTTATCAGATATATCCCAAAGCACACTTCTCATACCAAAAGGATCTATATCCATCCCTCACTATCACATTTGCATGCTTTGCTGCCTTGGAGCAATTCTCAAGATCCTTGTCCATGATGTTTTTTGTTTTGCAGCAGTTGATAAAGATGACAAAAATTTACTCCATATTCCAGTTTGATGTTTCACCTTCCAACAAAACTTGACTGATAGATCTATCTCCACCATAACTTATATATTGTTAGCTTTCCTTGCTTGTATTTTGGTTTACAACGTAAAACCAAAAGATGCTGATACAACTACAGAAATACAACCCGTCATTAGTTGTTAATATTTGGATAACGGTTATGAAAGTCTTTCAAAGCACAAGAAATGCGTGGAATA